AAAAAGTCAGAATTGCGAGATATAAACTTGCAATTGCAAGTTATAAAGTCAGACTTACGAGATATAAACTCGCAATTACGAGAAAAAAGTCAGAATTGCGAGAAAAAGTCAGAATTGCGAGATATAAACTCGCAATTGCGATTAAAAAAAGTCAGAATTGAGAAATATAAACTCGCAATTGTGAGAAAAAAAGTCCGAATTGCAAGATATAAACTTGCAATTGCGAGAAAAAAAGTCAGAATTGCGAGAAAGTCAGAATTGTGAGATATAAACTCGCAATTGCGATAAACTCGCAATTGCAAGTTTATATCTCGCAATTCTGAGAAAAAAAAGTCAGAATTGGGAGATAAAAAGTCGCAATAAGCTTTTAAAAAAAAATTTATTCAGTGGCGGAAACGGGCTTCCATACTTTTGAGATATGCATACATGTATCTTAGAATAATGTATAATTGTGTTTGTTCTGACAATTGAGTTTTCATTTTCATAGGAGGCCCATTTGTCTGCCATTACAAGCCTGGCCGAGTTCACAGCCAGATCCATAGAGCAGTTCCACAAAACAGCTGAAATGCTGCTCCACTGTAACCCTGAGGGGGTGACGACCACAGAACAAGCCAAAGTCCTATCACAGTGAGGTTTTTTTTGTTGTTGTTGTTGCAAAAAGTGTGCAAAATTTGGATTTGGAGAAATCAAAACCATAATCGGTTTCACTTTCAGAGTTACTATTGTTATTTGCAAGGAGGTATCACTACTATCCAAAAAGTTCACGTCGTGTTTGACTACCATTGGGGTAAGACGCTTCACTTCTTATAGTATCGTTTAGAGATCTTTAATAGGTTTATAGTCATTATAAAATGTGAGTTTTGTATGCCATCAAGTCAAAATGTTTGTCATTTCAGGCAAATGAAAAGGGAGAAGTTCTCAATCCACTTATTACCAGTATTTTTCTGGAGGTTTGTCTTTATTTTATGTCTTTTCTTTTGCACATTAAAATAAATGCAAATAAAAAAAAAGACATTTACAGATCTAAGACTTCTATGTTGATGTCTGCACAGAAGTAATAACATCTTTTTCATTTTTAAGGCATCAAACAGTGCATCATATATCCAGGACGCGTTCCAGCTCCTCATGCCAGTGCTGGAAGTGTCTCATATTCAGAGGACGGTGGAGTCGGCACAGTGATAACCACTCAGAAACACTTTACTGCGCCAACTAAGATTTTAATAACAAAAAAACAAAAACAACATGCAACATCATATGATGGAAGTAAAATAATTTGTGATTTACATTCAAGTAGATACGGGAAGCACATGACATACTGTATGGTGTGCACAGCTTTTTGCACATTCATTGATTGTTGGCTTTTTTCCTATCTTATTATATTTTTGAATAGACTCGGTGTCAGAACTCTTCCTATAACTGACAGTGTCTGAATGAATACAGTAATTTAAATAAATATATTTTATGTCAACATTTATAATGAAAGGTGTTAAAAAGATTATTTCTATTCATTTAAGACTTACATTGATTTCAAATAATTATGTAAGTCATATCAGTATTCATGTTCAATTATCTTTTAAATAAACAATTGTTACAAGTCTTCTGGATTATAGAACTTGTAACTTTTTTTGGAAAATGCAATACATACACTATAAGTATGATAGGTAACATGTTATGTATGTATATTTGCTATAAAACAAATGTGTACTTGGGACTTTTTGAAAATATTTAAGATATAATCTATAATATTGTTAGCTATTGATAATGTTTTATTAGTTTATTTGAATACCTTACAACATGGTCTGACCCATTATCAATGACAAAAAATCCTGTGAAGAATAGATTACTGGTCTTTTTCCTCCACTAGAGGGCACAGACACGTTGAACTTCTCAATGAAAATGTCTAAAAATGACTTGTGGAAAGTTTATATAGTAATGGCCATTTAAATCTATAGTAATATTCACATTTACATTTAGTCATTTAGCAGACGCTTTTATCCAAAGCGACTTACAAATAAGGACAATAAAAGCAGTCAAAACTAACAAAAGAGCAACAATATATAAGTGCAAATGACAAGTCTCGGTTAGCCTAATGCAGTCAAGAAATGTCTGTTAGACATGCTGAGATGCGAGCAGCTATCGTCGGATCATCAGGATGGAATGAGAGGTAGAGTTGAGTGTCATCAGCATAGCAGTGATATGAAAAGCCATGTTTCTGAATGACAGAACCTAGTGATGCCATGTAGACAGAGAAGTGGTCCAAGTACTGAGCCCTGAGGCACCCCAGTAGCTAGATGTTGCGACTTGGACTAGTAATAATAGTATAGTACAGACTTGTACTATAAAATGATATATGGTTTCTCAACTGTGTCAAAATGGACAGCAGGTAGAAGCATTTTTATGTAAGATTAATGACCACACAAATACTAGGCACTGTGATTATATTTTATGTGAAGATCAGGACATGAGTTATGTACATACATCAAGGACAAACACAATACTATGAGGCTGAAGGAGGTGTAGAGGCAGTAATGTTCAGTTGCTCCAGTTTTTCCATTAAAGATACTTCTGTGTCTTCTGTGCTTTCCGTAAGAGGCTCCAAATACTGCGTCCCAGCAACCCTCTTCCCAGTGAGCGGGTCGACCACCTGCCCAACTTTATACACTATCTCTGCGAGTTCATGGTTGACATGTTTGGATCTTTTCTCCGGCAAAGCCTTCAGCAAAACAACATCCCCAATAGTGCACTGCTCCAAAGGATCGTGGGCAAAGTATGTCTTCCTCTTGTTGTAGTACTTGTAAAAAAAAAAACAAATACAAGAAAAAAACAAACAAATACAGGATCAGGTTAATTCAGTCTACAAACCAACTATTTTACATATAATGAGTCATTAGTTTACCGACATAAATGACCCTAATGCTTAAAGCTACAAATATTTTATGGCAATGTAAGAAAAACAAAAAGAAAGACAATCTAAGGGGAAAAAAATCAACATATCTTACCTTGAGCAGGTACGGATCAAGCACAAGTCTGGTAACTCGAACCTTTGCCGTCTTCTTCATCTTGGTTCCGATCACCTGACCAATGATCCATTTCGCATGGACCGATGCTTGACGCGTGGACATGCCGTTTATGTTTTGCAGTCCCCTAAAATGTAGTAAATGTTCACGTTAGATGAACTTGCAGGTTCGCAAGCCAAAGCTCGATTAAATAATCAGCTGCTAGCTAAGCTAACCAGTTTCCACAAATCTGCTTTACTCACTGAGGACAGATTATATAATTGCCATAACACAACAACAGGCCTTTCTGTGTGTATGTAAATGAAAAGTGTAAATAATACACTTACCGGTTCACTGTAAAGGTAAACGTTTACGTAAAGGTCAAAAACTCATGAAAACATTCAGCATGCGTCTGAATGTCAAGACTCGTGGCTCATGTTGATGACGTAATACGGAGTGGTAAAGAAGGAAACGGTACAAAGGCAGCTTCTTTTATTTATTTTTTTCTTTTATTTCTTATTATTTTAAGAAACTGGAAAATTAGATAAGATATCATTTAAATATATAGTAAAATATCTTATTTATAATAGACAATTTTTATATAGCACTATGCGTGACATTATTATTATTATTATCATATTTTTGAAAGTATTTTTTCTAATGAATCATTTTGTGTTTGACAAGTGTTGTAAGAATGTATAAAAAATATTTTTTTAAAAATAAATTATTACATTAAATTTTATACAGTTGGAATATTTGCTGGGAATATACAATAAATATAATTATTTTATATATTATTATATATGATAATATACCATAAAATAATAAAACTTTACCCATTTTTGATTATTATTATATTTGGACAGTTTTCCGCCGCCAAAATGCTATTTTTTCTAATAAATAATTTTCTGTCTTTTACAGAGAATGTATTTGTAAGTGTTGTAAGCACATAAAAATGTACATAATAAACATGAAATGTATCACATGAAACATAATTGTACTTGTTTTTAATAATTGTAGGATTAAATAATAATAATTTAAGCATATATTAAGATTATACCCAAATAAATATTTTAATACATTTTCATATACATGTATGATAAACAATTATTATTTCTCAAATTAATATTTTTTTATTCTTTATCTATACGTTTATGTATCTTCTAATACACAAAATGAGTTCTGACTCTCAGACTTTAACTGTCAGTCTCACACCTTCCATCATGCTGATTTGTGTATGGCAGTAACGTCACTTTTCACAAACTAAAGAAAGCATTTTGTGAACTCCCCCATAAAGTTTGCCTTGCACGGAGCAAAGTTTATTGCAGCAAAGCGCTTTGCATATAGTGGTCCAACTCCCATTTGAACTATTTGGCCTCTTTAGTCAAGACTCAGAGAAAAGGCATTTATAAAAGAAAAAAGATGTGTCTAAAATAGGGGAACAGATCATACTCTAATGTGTGTTCAACAGTGTAAGAAAAAGAAATCGGCCTGTCCCTGGGTGGGAACTGGATGAGAGCCAGCGCAGTCGAATCTGGTATTAATCAGAACCACACAGAAAACATGGCTTGTTTCTATGTGATTCCCATTTAAGGCAGTGCAATGGGAGTTTTAGTGGAAGGCTTGCGCACCATCCGTCTGCAATGCTCTTGTGCATTCAGAAACATGTAATGTATCAATGCGTTACTTTACTAGTTACTTGAAAAAAGTAATCTGATTACGTAACTCGCGTTACTTGTAATGCGTTACCCCCAACACTGGTCATTATTACTGACTGACCAGCCTGTTCCATCTCAGGCATAATAGATATAAATAAATGTACTCTGCAGATGTGACACATCTATTTAATGTCTAGCAGATGAAAGCTTATGGTACATGTGTGAGTGGTAACAGTGTCAGCCCAGAACACGGATTCCCAAAAAGTCATGAAGCATTCTGTAAATTCAGCTAGCTTTAAGATCTCTCCATCATCTCTGCTCCATCTGAGTCGCTGCCCTTCAGTGTAGCCTTTACTCTAGTTCAGTGTTGTTCTGACAGCAATAGTGAGGCTGACTGGAGAGCCGCAGATAAGAACGCAGCAGTCGGTACCCTTAGCATACATGCTAGTGTGAAAGAGGCAATGACTCATGCGGTTTATTTTCTCTGGAGATTCGCAGCCCAGAACACGGATTCCCAAAAAGTCATGAAGCATTCTGTAAATTCAGCTAGCTTTAAGATCTCTCCATCATCTCTGCTCCATCTGAGTCGCTGCCCTTCAGTGTAGCCTTTACTCTAGTTCAGTGTTGTTCTGACAGCAATAGTGAGGCTGACTGGAGAGCCGCAGTAAGAACGCAGCAGCCCGTACCCTTAGCATACATGCTAGTGTGAAAGAGGCAATGACTCATGCGGTTTATTTTCTCTGGAGATTCGAATGTGACTTATGAATATTTTCCCTGCTGAAATGAAAAGCAAATTTAAACACACTTGAGTGATGAACGAGATCGCTGTCACCATATTCCTGTTTTGCGCTCTGTTTGTTTAATGTTATTGTATGAGGCTGGCGTCAGAGGGGTTACATAGAACATGGCTGGGAGAAAAAGACAGCAGTTCATTATATTTGTGTTTATAAAGCTATAAAGACCACACAACTGTGAATTACTGTGCCATTTTTCATGCAAGTGTGAGTTTTGGATAATTGGGTCAAAGATATGATGCTCAGTTTCGCCCATTTCATTATATTCTGTTAAATTAACCATGAAACCAAAGCTTAGAATTTGTCCTTAAAATAAAGTGTTACCAAAAATGAATGCTATTTGAGCATATGAAACAACATTTATGTTACTGTTGATGTTAGATTTTATTGATGATTGTTGCAAATATGTATAGTGAACTCCCAAAAAACGTACTGATATTTATGAATTCATAATTTATGTTATGTAAAAAAAAAAGTACTTTTTTTACTTTATGGTCACACCACATGACATTTTAGAGTCAATAAATTGAACGCTGTCTATGATATAAAAGTTTTTCAAAACCAATATGAATATAAAGAACATGTGTTTTAAAATAGATCATGAAATGATTTGTCATTTTCTTTATTATGGACACTGTACATGTTTGACCCAATTACATACAAGTAACATTATTACATTTGTCTGTAGATTAGGGATTTCAAGAGACCCCCTCTTTAGAGAGGCCTGTATACAACCATCCAGAACACCCTAGCAACCGCATGGCAACCAGCCACAACTCATCTAGAATTTTCTTCAAAATTCATAGTGATTCATAAAGCTACAGTTGAAAGACTATTCGAATAATTTGTCTTCTTTAATTGTTCCTGTGTTGCTACAAAACGGTTCGCACATTTGTATTTCTAACTGCGTTTCCTCATTGCTTCAATGATCCGGCTTTTCATTATGCTGATTAATGGCTTGTGTGTTTTTATGGCAGATGCTTCAGTGTAATGTCTGTTGCAAGCTGATGTCAGTGTCCCTTGAAAACAAACATGAGGTCACTATGGAAATACCAGCAGACTAGCAGAAGAAAGTCATTTATTAATTACTGCAATAATATTTTTGCCCACTTGAAGCACAGCGCAGGTCACGG